CACGCCCCCCGCGCCGAACGCCGCCGCCATGGCGTCCGTGGAGCTGTGTGGTTGCGGCGCGGAGTGCAGCGTGGAACTGCTCGCCGGCGACGGAGCCTCGCGCTTGACGCTCACCGACGCCAGGGCGGTGCTGGGCTCGGAGGAGGAAAAGGGGGAGGAGGGGGGCGGTATCGTTGTGTTGGCGTTTGCTGTGTTGGACGACAATGAGAGCGATGAGGAAGGTGATGATGAAGAGAAGGCAGCAGCAGCGGCGACGGCTGCGCTAGATGAGTCCATGTTGCCGATGCTGCTCTTCCTGTTGGCGTTACTACTACTACCACTACTACTAAAGTTACTAGACTTATTGTCACTACTGTTGTGGTGGTGGTGGTCGCCGGTCGCGTGGGTGGGCGTGGTCGATGTCGTCACTTCCGGGTTGCTATTGGCACAGGTGGAGGAGGTGGGGGAAGTCAGGGGTGGGGAGAAAGAACTGCTCGCCACTGTGGCTGCCGACGACGACGACGACGAAGTTGCTGATGCTGCTTCTGCTGCTGCTGTCGCTACGGAGGGGGAGGAGGATGGAGGGGATGATCTGACTGCAGACGAGGAGGCAGCATGCGCCGAAGGCAGACGAGACGATGATGAAGAAGATGAAAACGGCGAGGTGGAGGAGAGCAGCAAAGGGGACGAAGGAGAGGCAAACGTTTGGTTGTTGCCACTGCTGTTGCTGCTGCTGTTGTTGTTGTTGTTGTTGTTAGGTGATGAGGATGATGATAATGATGTGTTGTTGTTGTTGTTGGTGGTGGTGGTGCTAATGCTGCTGCCGAGTAGGTTTGAGTGAGGGGTAGGGACAGCACAAGACGAGCTTCTGTTGTCTGCAACAAGAGAGGTGTAAAACGAACGTCAGAACTGGGAGGAAGGGGACATAACGCTAAGCGCTTAGACTGACATAAGTCTGCTTAGACTGACATAAGTCTGCTTAGACTGACATAAGTCTGCTTAGACTGACATAAGTCTGCTTAGACTGATATAAGTCTGCTTAGACTGACATAAGTCTGCTCAGACTTGACAACTCCACCGATAGACAAGGGCGCACAAACAGAAGAAAGGGGGAGACAAACAGGAAACAGAAGAGGACAGACCCCCCCAAAAAAACCAAAAAAAAAAAAGGAAATTAAAACAGAATGACGGCGTAGAATAATTAACACCTCTTCCCATCAAAGCCAAAAAAAAAAAGCGTGCACATGCCAACGTTAAACAAATTGAATCAAAAGAATTTATAGACAAATTTAATTTTGACCTTTAAAAAAAACGTGTTCTGTTACAACATGCACGATTTAAAGCCGTTTCCGATAAGACCTTTATAAGACGCCACCGAGCGGCAACGGGAGATCACCGTTAACAACAATACTCTTCACTCCCCAACTTTCCAGCAATAAGGTGGCAGTAGAAACTGGCCTAACAATATCAATTATTAAGAAAAAACAACAAAGCAGAACACAACATCGCTTTGAACTTTTCTCACCCCAGACTAACGAACATCATGATGAAACATCGAAATCAGGGACAACATTGCCGACTATCCACCAAATAGCTCGTCCAACTCTTCGTATACATTAAAATAGAACAAGCATGCAACAAAAAAAAAACAACCAAAAAAAACCCAACTTAACCCCCTCAAAAAAACAAAAATTTAACCCTCTTCCTTAGCTCTATCCCCCCACCCCCTCCACTTTCCTCCTCTTTCCACTTTTTGCTCCACAACC